GGGGGGGGGGGGGGGGGGGGGGGGGGGGGGGGGGGGGGGGGGGGGGGGGGGGGGGGGGGGGGGGGGGGGGGGGGGGGGGGGGGGGGGGGAGGGGGAGTCGAGGGGGTGAGGAGGGATGGAGGGATGGAGGGGGAGTTGGGGGGGTGAGGAGAGATGGAGGGATGGAGGGATGGAGGGATGGAGGGGGAGTTGGGGGGGTGAGGAGGGATGAAGGGATGACACTCAACATGTGTTCGTGAATGTTGCCCAGTAAAGACGAAGGAAACCAGATGAAGCTGCAGCTCAGAGGAAACACTGTCTCACAGCAGCTGTAAACAGACACTGAACAATACTAGGTGATAAATAACAGCAGGTCATGACGTGTCTCTCTCTCCGTGTCTCAGTACCTGGCTGTGGATGTGAGGAGGCTGAACATCAGTCTTCTTCGCTGGTTTCGGGAAGGCGTAGCGGCAGCGCTGGGCGTTCCTCCGGGACACGTGCACATCAACCGGCTGAATGTAAGACACACACCACTCCAACATGACGCTCCTCTGACTGATTGATTGATTGTTAAAGTGATTGATTGACTCTTGCAGGAGAAGAAGAATGGCATCGAGCTCTTCGTGTCCTCTGATAGGCTGGGGATCTCCGAGCCCCGCCCCGCTGAAGAGGTCATCCAGTCACTGAACGTCAGGGTCCTTCATCGCCACCTGGGACACTTTGGCATCACAGAGGTCTCCACTGAGGTGTGTGTGTGTGTGTGTGTGTGTGTGTGGGAGAGGGGGGGGCTGCTCGGTCTCCACGGCAACTGCAGCTCGTTAAGCGGCCTCGTTAGTCCCCGCGGAGACGGACGGAGAGGATGGATTGTGATTATTAGAGAGCAGAGTGCTGCTGCTAAAAGTTTAATGGAACTATTAAAGTGTCATCGATCAGCTGGAGGACGAACAGAGCAGCTGTATTAATATTATTACTGTGCGTCCTGCAGTGAGACATGTGACAGCTCCTCTCTAATAATGCTACAGCAACACATCAGAGACTCCCTGTGACCGTCAGCCAGGAGCAGACACAATGAAACAGGCCTGTCTGCCGCTTTAAAGGGACATTACACCACAATCAAACGCTTAGCGTGTCGCTCCCCTCATCACTTCACAAATAAACATAGAAGTGTGGCACCTCCTCACGTCTGAAGACAGCAGGTCTCATTCATGAAACGTGAGCACAACAAATTTGTGTGTAAATAAGATACTGCACATAAATGTTTGTCATTATTAGAAATGAGTTTCATTACCTCAGCCAAGAAGGTTATGTTTTCACCGGCGATAGTCTGATTGTCTGCAAAATAACTCAAAAAGTTATGAACAGATTTTGATGAAATTTTCAGGAAAGGTGGATAATGGGACAAGGAACGGATGATAACATTTTGGTGGTGATCAGTTGAAGCAAAGTGGATAAAATAATAAAAAATAAAGTCTATCGTCTGACAGCCTCAGCAGCAATTCCAGTTTCTAAAGACAGTGAAAATAGCGCCATCTGGTGGCCGGAAAGCACGTCTTGTTCTACTTGCTAAATATTGTTGTAATTCTAAAGTTGAAATTAATGTTCTGTGTTGGAAAGAAAGGAAGTGAAAAATACAAAAAAACGAAATAAATACACCACAGTGTCTCCATGGTGAAGGCACATATAACTTAATAATGATAGTGATGCAAATAACCTAATTGTGATGCAGGCTGCAAAATCTGATGCAGAGGGGGAGGGGATATCACCTGCTTGGCGGAGGTCTGCACTCTGACTGCTTTTCTAGTTTCATATTGTGCTCTTTTGTCTTCACAACAAACAGATGCCTTTGAAACGCGCCATATATAAGAATGTGGCCAAAACGGTTACTGCACTCAAATTCAAAATACTGCCGCGAGTCATGTCCGCCCCCCCTCCCCTACAGATTCGAGGTTGCTGGACAGCGGCACGCTGGAGACTGATTTGTTTGCCCACGGGCGGCTGCCGTGGCAGGGCCGCGTCGCCGCGTCCTTGATCTTCGGTTTTCCAGTAGACCGTTTGAGCAAGTCCGGCTTTTCTGCTGCTAACGCTGCTGCCGGGATACAGCTGAGGAGGAGCCAGCTGCTAATGCTATGTACCGGGACACTGCTAATTAGGGCTGCCACTAATGACTATTTTCATTGTCGACTAATCTGTCGATTATTTCTTCAATTAGTCAACTAATCATTTCATCGAAAAATGTGTTAAAATGTTGAAAAATGTCGGTCTGTCTGGCCCAAACCCCAAAATTACGTCATCTAATGTCTTGTTTCATGCTCACGCCAAAGGGTTTTAGTTCACTGTCATGGGAGAGTGTGTAAAGCTGCCAATATCTGAACGTAAGAAGCTGCAGTCAGAGTATTTTGGGTACTTTTATAGTACTTTTCTATGTAAAATGACTCAAACCGATTAGTCGACTACTAAAATAGTCACCGATTATTTTAATAGTCGATTAGTCATCGATTAGTAGACTAATCGTGGCAGCCCTACTGCTAACGCTGCTGCCAGGATACAGCGGAGGAGGAGCCGGCTGCTAATGCTATGTACCGGGACACTGCTAATGCTGCTTGCCGTGCTGTTTGTTTCTCAAAAAAAACAGTCGGGTCGATGACCCACCTGCACACGGGCTACAATGTGTGATCGAAAATGAATAACAGTTGAAAGTATTCGAAATGTCCATCCCCGTCTAGCTATGATGCTAGTTAGCCAACTTTGGCTAAAGCTAAAGTTTTGTCTTGGCGTTTTTGGGAATCATAACGAGGTCGTTTGGGTTTAGTCGCACCGTCAGCCATTGTAGCTCAGTCGTAACTGTAACTGATGCTGAGACTCTACTGACTGCGTGACTGGTAGACGGAGGTGGGTGGCGCAACAGACCAAAACACAAATTCAAAACATAAACATGATTTGCGGACCGTAAAAGTTTTTCTTAAATGCGAATATTCTGGCTGTACTATTGTTGTCGGTGAGATCAGTATGTTATATGAACATTATTCCTTAGTCTCTGTGACATATTAGGAGGATTTTACGACTATTTGCTTCAGATTTCTTACATATAGCTCCTTTAAACATGACAAAAGATTAGAAATAAAACACATTTAGATAAATAAGTTGGAATTGAGCAGGTTTAAGCTTCAGATCAGGTTTCTTAAAAACGTGAATGAGTTATTTAAATTGACTTAATACAATCCTGGAAAACTCTGAGCAGCGCGCTCCTCCTTTGCGCTCTTGACGCACCACAGCCCCAAACTGAATGTCATTTTTGTTTAATTTAATTATTACAGACGCGATATGTGAGACGTAAACATTATTTCAAATTCAGTTTTGGTTTAAAAAGACAGTCAGAGAGTTGGAGGGAGACGGTGTGATTTACACCAGACTGTCTGACTTGTTGTTAAACGGTGGGTTGCTGCCGACATCAGACTGCCTGTATTAAGATGTTTTAATGGTGGGTTGATTTCACAACAGTGACAAACGATGCTGAGGCTGAGGACAAACTGACAGAGAGTTCTCTCTGATGATGTAAGCAACGCGCTCGTCTGCGGCAGGGAGCTGAGAGTGGGCGGAGCCTCCTGTAGCTTTTTGTGTGTACTTGTGCGTTTTTTTGCATCAAGTTTCATGTCGAACCATTTTTGTTTAACTTCTTAAATGGTTCTTACAACAGAGGACATGAAGTTAACGGCCTTTGATTTACCTGTCCCTGTCACACCACTAACAGAAGAAAACGAAATGTATTTCTCAACCCCACATTACCTAAAATAACTTCGGTCTCAGCGTCGGAAAAGTTTTTCTTTCTATCTCTCTTTATTTGCTCCATGTTCGCAGGTCAACAGGAGGCACCTGTCCTTACCTGTAACACACACCTGTAATTGTCCATATATAGCGGCCACTGGCTGTTCATCAGTTTACAACTGATTGGAAGCAGTGATACACACTGATACACATGTGCCTACAATCAAATCAGAGTTTTCTGCAGCTTTCATGAATCTGGAGTAGGTTTTTAGGTTTTTTTATGTGCAAATTTACTCGCAGATTTATTAACATTTCATGAATGAGACTTGGTGTGAGTGATTTAACTTCACTGTTTGCATGAACCAATCAACATTTATTTCTATAGCCCTTTACAAAACCCAGAGGAACCAAGACTTAAAAACTTAAGATAGTATTTAATATATTTGATTTTATTGGGACACAGAGATGAGAAAAAGACCACCTTACACAAAACTACTAGGTAGATGTTGTGGTGAAGATTCTCAGTCATCCAGGTCATGGTGATCAGAAGTGCAGCTGGACGTCCTTGTGTTTCTTGAAGATGTTTCACCTCTCATGGCACTTGCACTTATGATCACTACTGTAGGTAGATGGGTCGGTTAACAAAGAGGAAGTGGATATGTATCACAATATTTTCCAGCTGCTTTTGGCTGATTGAAAGAGGTGCGTGTACCCTCCACTACACCGCTGGTCATGGGCTCATTAACTGTTGAGAAAATGTCTTGACAGAGGCATCCCTCGTCTGTGACAGTGACGTCACTTTAGAAGTCATTTGGTGTCAGGCTGACCTGAGGTGTTCGCCCACAGCAGGGATACTCAACTTTTGCAAACTGACAGGAGGTCAGAGGCCTCGCACATGTACACAGGGATGTTTCTAGGATTTGATGACATGTGGGACTTCCCTTCCTCCCCTGGCACTTTTTTTTTTATAACAAGCTCTACTTTAATGCTAATTTATGCGCTCCGTCACCTTTAAGCTGCTTCACACAGAGGGAAGGTGGCAGAGAGGAGGAGGTTTCAGACGTGGCAGTAGGAGTGTGAAGCAGTTGCTGCCTACACTGCACCGCACAGACGTCACTGTGTTAAACTTCTGGTGGTATCCACCTGGCTTTGGACGATCGAACAGAAGGGGGCAGGCGTCGTGGACGCAGGAAGACAAGATGGAGGAGCTGATGGTGTTGGTGTCTGAATACCTGGAGTTGTACAACACTGTCTCAGTGACTTATGAGAACAATGAGAGGAAAAACTGGGCCTTCACTGAACTGTTCGTCTGAATATGTAGAAATCTTGAAGTGGTTTCCAGTGTCTTGCACCATTACATCTTTATAAACATGGCGCCACGTGAGCGTGCACGTCTGTTAGTGATGCTGGCATGTCTGATACGGATGATGTCTGCTCCTCACCACAGGAAGGACGAAGGCATCTGGGATTTTATAACGACGTGTTTGAACACCAGGACGATCAGAAACTTTATTTTGAAACTGGTTGTCTCTGTTTCCTGTAGAAGAACGTGCTGCAGGGCGAGCAGAGGGATCACGTGTGGAGCAGAGAGGGTTTCTACGCCGTCGTCCTCTTCTTCACCGTCTTCGTCATCGTCATCACCTGCTTGATGGTATACGACACACACACACACACACACACACACAGATCAGCATAATCACTGACATCATGCAACACGTTGCTAAACCAGCTGCTCTGACTGGCTGAGGCAGCAGACCGCCGTTAGCCAATTTGTGGCCGTGGTCAAAGGTCAGTGTGTCCTGGCCTCCAGCCACACTGTACACACACACACACACACACACACGCTGATGTATGAGCCTTTATTCACATGATTATATCAGCTGTAAACCACAAAATAAAAGTAATGAATATTCACATTTATAAAAGATATTTTAATGTTAATAATTCAGTTTATTATAATTAAACAGTCAGATTTTATTTCCTGTATCAGTTGCAGTGTGACGTGTCTCCCACAGGAGGGAGCACTTGTACAGAGAAAGCAGACGGGGATTCAGTTCATGTAATTATTACAGTGTTTCTCAGACCTGCATTAAAGAACTGATCTATTTACAGATAAATGAATCTGAATTAAAACATATTTTTATCCTTTTTCTGCGATTTTATTCTCTACTCACACTTCAGCCGTTCATCCTCAAATCATATGAAGGAAGCAGTAGTTTCACAGTCACTCTTTAATTCTTCTTGTGTGTCTCTGAGCTGTGTTTTTACTGATCTGTGAAATCAGGTCAACGTGTTCAGAGAAATTCGTAAAAACAACATTCAGGGGAGTTTCAAGTTTCCCTCCTGTCCCATAAAACATCATAAAACCTTTCAACAGTCTGGAGTTTCCAAGAGTGGAAATATTAGGAACAAATGAAACATTATAATTGCCATAAAATATCTGAATCATTGTTTTATTGCAGCCTTCTAACAGCAGATCGTTGGTATTCTACTCATATAAACCTGTGGATATGTAACCCAGACACCGTCACGCCCAGAGAGCTTCACAAAGCAAAACTGAAAGAACACAGACACAATTTAAAGACGACACAAACAACTACACATGAAGTTTTTCAAGACTAGAAAGTTGCAGCAATAAGACAAAATCTTTATTTAAAAAGGGGAAAAATGAGCTTTATGTGTTGCATATTATTTTTGATAATAATTAGTGTGAGTAGAATTACCTGACACTATCAGGGCTGCAACTATTTGAAGAGAAAAATTATTTCTATTGTCAATTATTCTGTTGTTTATTGTCTTGATTTATTGTTTAGTTTTTGGCCTCAGTGTTTCCCAAAGTCAAAGACGACGTCTTCAAATGTCTTGTTTCATCAACGACCCAAAGATGTTCAGTGAACTGTCACAGAGGAGGAAATACACCAGAAAATATTCACATTTAATTTAGACAATTTTGATGTTTCTTTAAAGATTACTCAGTCTGATTAATCAATTGTAAATTTAGTTGGTGATTGATTTAATAGTTGACAACTAAATGATTTATTGCTGCAGCTCCAGACAGCAATTATTTGTCTCACAGATCTTAATTATGTCGTTAAAACATCACTCCTCTCTACGCAACTTTAAATAGTTGACGTTATTATCTGGCGATAAATGTGACTACAAGACGCTGGAAAAATGTTCAACACATTACTTTATTTTTAGAATTATTTTGTTTATTTATATTAACTTTTTTTTTAAATGTCTTTTTTATTATTTTATTTATTGATCATTTTTTTATATTAATGTATTGATTGATTTTTTTTTTAAAATTATTTTATTTTTTCCACAACTTATTTACTGATCAAAAATAAACATGAAAGCTAAACATAGAGTTGGGTAGTGCTGGTATCGTCAGTACCGACACCAAAACAATACCCTTTTTGATTCCTTGGTCTGAGGAATGTGAAAATGTTTTAATTATTTTGTTTTAATTCAACAAAATTGGACAAATTCTCCAATAAATCTGTGTTAAATAACAGACTGTAGAGAGGTTAGTTAAAAAGTTATAAAAAGTATTGAAGTATTTATACATAAATCTAAACATGCCTTGTCAGGACATGACTACTTCCTGGATTTCTCTTTTCAGTCACAGGTGTCATCAGATCTTTATTTGAAGTGAACTCAGTTTTTTCTCTCCTGTCTGATCTGCAGGTTTTGTACCGACTTAAGGAGAAGGTTCAGGTTTCTGACAGACAGCTGAAAGCCCCGCCCCCTGATGTCCACCTGACCCCGACTGTCCAATCAGACTCTGCCCAGAAGTCAAAGGGCGCCAAGGTCGCCATCAGACGCCTATTTCTGCTCATAAGCATGTATATAAAACATACAAATGACTGATTGATAATGAGTCTTATTTGTTCTCCAGGTTGTGACGTCAGGAAGTATGGTCCAAGCCCAGCTCCCTCCAGCTGTAGCCACGCCCATTCCCCAGCCGCCGCCAATCGTACCCTGCCGCCGCCTCGCTCCTCCTGTTGTCCCTCTGCCCAGGTGAGTCAGCTGACATTGTGTCCCATAAAACTTCCCATAAATTAATATGAACCACATGTTTGACTGCGCCTCTCCTCCTAGCTCCGCCCCCGTCCCCATTGTCAGCAGTAACAACCACGCCCCCCTGGCCAGCGTTGCCCCGGTGACAGCCGCTAACGAGCTAAAGCCCTGCCTCTCCCCCTTCAGGATGAAACCTGCCGCAGGACTGCAAGAAAGGTAAGAAGACAGGTGTTTAAGCTCCGCCCCCTCTGTGTATCAGTGTGTGTCTAAGTCAGTTTGGACACAGCGTTTATTCATAATGATGATAACACGAGAACAAAACAGGTTAATCTTTGGAAGGTCAGAGGTCATGTGTTCACTCAACAGCAGCTCTAACGTCCATTTCTCCCGACATGAGGAGAAACACCACAGAGGAAGACGCCTCCCTTCACACAGCCTCAGGACGTGTTCATGTTCTCTGTGTACATTGTTAATAAAGGAAACGTGCCTCGTTATGTGAATGTAAATCCACGAGATACTTCAGAGCTATAGAATGAAAACAGAACACACACACACACACACACACACACACACACACACACACACACACACTCTCTCACATGCACACACATACCTCCGTCTAAAGCCTCCTCATCGGCACGTACGCAGCTCAACACCTGTCCGCTCCAACAATTACAGGTTAGAGGTTACTGCTCTCTAAACACTCACAAACACTCACACACTTCCGTCTCTAAACATGGCGGACAATCATCAGGTGTGTTTTCATCCAGACGTTACAATAAAGGATCAATTCCTGTTATTTTACTGGCTCTGTGCATTGAATCATCACGGCCCTGGGTTCCTCCTGGTGCAGAGGGCCCTGGGTTCCTCCTGGTGCAGAGGGCCCTGGGTTCCTCCTGGTGCAGAGGGCCCTGGGTTCCTCCTGGTACAAAAATATTTTTGGGCAGTTCATCCTGATTATGGGAAGTGTGTTGGCAGGCTGTTGGTTGAGCCGGGAAAAAGGAAAAGCAACAAAACAAAATGAACCTGAGCAGCACATGAAGAGAGGAGGAAACCAGATGTGTTGATGTTTGTGATTAACTGAAGGATGGAGTGTTCCTTTATGTGCTGAGGAAACTCTCCTCCTACTTGAGCTAAATAAACTCTTTAAAAACCCTCTGGGATCAGCTGGAAAAGTCGTCGTCACAAAGCTGAAAACAGGTTTTTTTGGGGGGACTTTTTTGAGATGTGTGTTTCTCACAGGACGGCCACGCTATGAACAGATGATGATCTTATAGACCATGATGCATCGCTGTAGATTAAACTACCTGACAGGATATAAAGGAGTTAAAATGAGCTCAACTTTAAACATCTACAGCAGGAAAATGGCACACACTGATAATTACTACATACTTTTAAGTAGCAGAACTTCTGCTCGTAGTGGAGTATTCTCACAGTGTCAGAATCCGTCTTTCAGTGCTGAAGGACTGTTAAAAGTTTAATTTTCCACAAGTTTTAAAACAAAGTTTGGGCGTGAGAAACATGGATTTTGTTGGTAAAATAAAATCGACCTCATTTTTCAAAATGTCACCTCAGAATGTTGCTTTAACGGCTCTTTCGTAACTCTCCCTCTGAGGTAGTTTCATAAGAGTAAAGAAAACATCTTTATCTGCACCTCCGCTCAGCGGCGAGCACTTTAGCCGTTATCTGCTGCTCGTAACTCTTCCGTTGACTTGTGGGTTTGAACCTGGGCGGCCATTTTGTTCTGGTTACATCAGCGTTCAGAGTGAGGGTGTTAAAGTGTGGAGAACACCCTGTGATCCTTAAGGTAAGAGAGGGAAGGAAGATTTCAGGCTCAGAGTGAGAACAGGATGTTTTTCTTGGTGTCTGTGTGTGTGTGTGTGTGTGTGTGTGTGTGTGTGTGTGCTGTCCACTCTGGATGGCAGCCAATCAGCAATCAGACGAATAGGAAGTAACAGCATCCTGGAGAGGAAGCCGGCTGACACGTAGCCAGACGGAGAGAGTCCACCACCCACACCCCGCCAAAGCACACCTTGTCTTTTCTGCTCAGTCGTCGTCTTCTTCTGTTCTGACACACGCACAGAAATCGCTGTTCGTCTGAAATCAGTTCAGCAGTTTTGTTCCTGTAACGAATTTAACTTGAAATTCTGTCAAACTTTCTTAATTCACATTTTAAAAAAAATAAATCCTCCATTTACAGGCAACCGTTTAATTTATTTCAATTTAATAAACAAAATGAAAAAAATCCTCTTTAGCAGTGTTTCTCAAATGCTTCAGGGGCTACGTGGGAGTTTTAGAAAATGTTAATTTAAAACATCATAATTCAAAAAAAAAAAATCTATAAAACAATTTTGAGAAGCCCTGCTTTATGTAAATGTATTAATTTAATTTAATTTGAAAAATATTGAAATTCTATTATTTAATTAACAAAATCCTCTATATATTGATTCAACAATTTGATATTTTAACTTACTTAAAAAAATAAATTCTCTATAGAAATTTAACCATTCACTTAATTTAATTCATCTTAATTTAGTCAAAAAGAAATTCCTGCTATGAATGCAACAGTTTAATAGTTAATTAATTTAATTTAAAAAGTAGATCCTCTATTAAAATGAAACCATTCATTTTCCATTTTCATTCGCTCACCCAGGGCCTGGTCAAAAATTAAAACCATTTAATTTAGTTTTAAAGAATTAATTCAGTTCATTTTCATATTTAATTTAAAAACAAATAAAAGAATGTAGCCATATGATAATTTAATTTGATTTAGTTTAAAAAGAACTTTCCTTCACTCCTAATTTTAATTCAGATAAACTCATTATTTTAAAGTATTTAATCTAATAATTTTGTTCAAATTCCTGTTTATAAAAGTCTCATAAATATCATCAGTTTTGACTTGAGAAATGTCCTTATTTTGATTAAGTATCTTATTTAAAAAAAATACTTACTATATCATAGTTTTTATTTAGTAATTCTCATACTGTTATCTAACCCAATAACTCATGATTTCATCAGAGTAAATGTGATTTAATGTCTCATAAATGTGTCTTGACATGAGTAACTCATTTCCTGAATCTCTCCGTCTGATAGAGAGCAATTGTGGTTTTCCTCTCAAGTTTTATTTACTTTTTAGAAAACTGTCATGTCTGTAAACTCCAGATGATATTAGTCTGAACTTCATCAGCGCAGTAACTGTGGAGAACACATTGTTATAAACCACAAAGCACAGGTCAATAAACTCGATGAATGAAACACAGGAAGGAAGAGAAACTTCTTGCCTTGTTCATTTCTAACATTATTATCTTCTCTTTCCTTCCTCCCTGTCCTCCCTCCATCACCCTCTCTCTCCTCCAGACGTGGCTCTAACGTCTCTCTGGTGTTGGACATGTCGGCTCTCGGCTCTGTGGAGCCGCTCAACATTGCCGTGGTAACCCCCAGGGAGGCGGCGGCCAGGGAGTACCTGCTGTCAGCCGGCCGGCCTCTGACGCGACAGCAGCTCCGCGACGTCGTCATCAACACGCACAAGCTGCACGCCGAGTTCGCTGTGAGTCCTTAAACACATCATTCATTTCACATTCACTCTTTTCTTTAATTTAAATGTTGATGCAGGATGGCTTCACTGAGAAACACAAGGTTGACGGTTCAAGTCCCGCCCACCAAGCACCTTGATTTGGCTGGTTGAAGAGTATTTTCGAACTACTTAAAAACAGACAAAAATAAAACAAGATAGCTGAATTCCAGCTGTGATACTCCAGCACCCTAACAGCTCATCTCATATCAGGTACAATAGGAACATGTCATAACAATGACGCGATATAGAAGTGTGGACGTTTCCAGTCGCCTCTCTGCCAGCTCCGCTAAATTTGTGCTAAATTCAGGCTCTTATGTCAATTTTACGAGTCTTGGTGGTGGTTTTTGTGCTTGGCTTTGGACGGTGGTGGCGTGTGGCTGCAGGAAATCATAATGTAATGTAATCTGTAAACTCTCTTTCTGCTGACTTCTTGCTAGCTAGCTGCTAGCCAGGTCGAGGTTTTCAAATTTAAACATCAGTAAACATCGAGGAAAGGTGGAGAAGAATGGGCATCAAGTGAACTAGCATCCTGTTAGCCATTGTACAGGTGTTGAGCATCGGTTTCCAACGGGATATCAGAAACTGTAATGTCCTTTGATCCCGACCTGTGCTTAACGGTGAATAAGGATTGCCAGATATTTAATACTCGATTGTTCTAAAACTGGGCCCAGTGAGTGACCCGGGGAACCCACTGGCTGTTACTGGTTGTGAATTGTTAAAATTGTGCTTACTGTACTTAATTTTACTGTAATTTGAAGCATTCTCTGTTAATCACGTGGGTGCTTTGAATTTTGGACGGGGTGTTTTTGGAACCAATGAGTAAGGCCTCAGTTTTGCTTCTGTTGAGCTTCAGGAAGTTCCTGCTCATTCAACTCCTGATGTCCTGAAGGCAGGTGGTGAGGGAGGTGGGAGGAAGGGCAGTGGAGGGTTTGGTGGAGATGTAGACCTGTGTGTCATCTGCATAGCAGTGGAAATGAACACCATGGTGACGGAGGATTGTGTCCAGGGGAGTGAGGTGGATGATGAATAAAAGTGGACCCAATACTGACCCCTGGGGGACACCCATTGACACAGCAGAACACCTCGACCTGTGGTTCCTCATCTGGACAAACTGTTGTCTGTCAGTAAGATATGACGTGAACCACGAAAAGTGCAACACCAGTGATCCCAATTTCAGCCATGCGTTCCAGGAGTAGTGGGGGTGCTGAGATCGAGGAGGATAAGGATGGTGAGCAGTCCAGAGTCAGCTGCACGCAGGAGGTCATTGGTGATTTTTACCAGGGCTGTTTCAGTTGACTGGTGTGATGGTGGAAATGTGAGGCGCTGTCCTGTTCCTGCTGTGGATCGCTGCTGTGCTCCGATCAGAGGCGGCTGCAGAGCAGTGCGGCCTGTGTTCAGGGGGAGTGACCATGCAGCAGTCTGGTCTCCAAACCAGAAACCAAGGACTACCAGAACCATCTGGAAACATGGACTATTATAAAGCAGCAGTCAACACTGTAAGAAGTCTGTTAAATGATAAACAAAAGAGCTGCAACAGATATATATAACATATATTCCTACAAACTAAGATATTGATTAATTGATGGTATAGACTTTTTATCAATACAGAACATTTCCAGCCGTACCGATTGAGTCGTTACATGTCAGTCAGAGTGCTTGTAGGTAAATGTCCCTGTCTGGTTGTCAGTGCAGTTGCAGGATTAATTCTTTAACACATTTATAACACTGAACGTCTTTTTTTCCATCTCAGGAAATCCCCATGAATTTCATCGATCCCAAAGAGCTCGATATTCCAAACCACGGGACCAAGAACAGATACAAGACCATACTGCCCAGTGAGTGCTGTGTGTGTGTGTGTGTGTGTGTGTGTGTGTGTGTGTGTGTGTGTGTGAAATAATCTCAGTGTTGCTAGGAAGCAGAAACCGTCCCAAAACAGTCCGTGTCTCTCATTTCCTATTGAACCAGGAAGTTGTTTTATTATGTGGGAGGAGCTCAAAGTCAAAGGCCATCAACCTCAAGGACGAGTTAAAGTCGCACCTCCCTCTTCCCTGCACACACACACACACACACACACACACACTGGAACAATACATGTTCCTCAGAGAACAGTTTGTTCTCACACCGCAAGCCAAGCACTTAGCCTGATTAAGACGTTATGTAACACACACATACACACGCATGACAGTTTTTAGTTTGGACACTCATGTTTTGGAGAGGGGCGGGGTTATCAATACACAGTAAAGGAGGGGGGTTCCTTCCTTCCTTCCGGCCAATCAAGAGTAAGGAATGCTCACCTATAGCTGCTGTCAATCAAACCACTTCCTGTGTTCGAGTTTCATCTTTTCTGAAATGTTCGTGGCTCTGTCCGGGGCCGTGGTCAGCACAGTTTGAGCTGAAGTGGAAGAGAGGCTCGACACTGAGTCAGGAGTCGAAAATCAGACCTAGATAACATTTAGAGTAGTGATTCTAAAAGTGGGTCTGTGGCACAAACATTTAATGATTTATATGTGTTTCCAAAAATGTAATAGTTGAATGGATAATATTAATTATGCCTCAGTGTGGGGGATAGCCGTGGCCAGAGGCAGTATGTTTTTGGGCTGTCCATCCGTCCATACATACGTCCGTACGCCTATACATTCGTCTGTCCCATTCTCGTGAACGTGATATGTCGAGAACGTCTTCAGGGAATTTCTTCAAATTTGGTTCAAAGGTCCACTTAGACTCAAGAATGAACTATTTAGAATTTTGTGGTCAAAGGTCAAGGTCACTGTGACCTCACAAAACATGTTTTTGACCATAACTATGACAAAGCTTTTTCATCAACGTCCATTTTTCCATGACGGAAACAAGACGAGCTAAAAATAGATCTTGATAACAAAAACTAAGACAAAATCGATGTTTCATTTTTGTTGACAAGACGTGGCGAAAATGTTCGTGGTGGACTATTGGACAATGAAAGCCGAGAACTGCTGTGTTTGTCATTATCTTCAAATGCTCCAGTAAATAAACTCCAGTAAATAGTCTGTGCCAGGATGTTTCAGTAGCCAGCAGAAACAGTCACACTGGAGCAGCTGTGTGTGTCTGGCTGTGGATGGTGGAGCTGCTGAATGGATTTCTAGAGGTTGTTAGTTGCAGTGGTGAATGTTAGCAGTTAGCTCCGCTCGGTAGCCGCTAAACGGCAGCGGAGCAAGCAGCCACTAGTTGCCAGACTTCACATCTGTTGATCCCAGCAGAACTCCTGAAGAATGATGGAGAACCTCTGATTTAGAGGTTTAGACTGAGTCTAAAACAGACATTAAATCAAGTCAGGACTGAGTTCAACAGGAACATGAGACCAAATCTGACAGGGGTTTAGATCAAATCAAGACTCAGTCAGTTCAAGATCAAGTCCAGAATGACACAAAACAAACACACGACTTAGTTTGAAAAGAACCTGGAAACCAAGATGAAAAAGGGTTCGAGATCACGTACAGACTGAGTTTAAAAGAGTGATAAGTGAGTAAGGATCAAACCTGCAGCTGCCCTTTAAAAGTACGTCCTGTTAAATGCAGTATGCACACAATGGAGACGTACCACTTCCACATACTGTTACGCCCTGAACTTTGACCGTCTTACTCATACGTCTGTTACCTTGGAGATGAAACAAAGCTCACGGGAGACGGAGGTCAACCTGGAGAGCTCTGATGCTGTATTTTGCAGTAAATAATAACTGCATACATTATAGTTTGTAACATATTATATTCATATAATTATATAATTGTATTATATGACCTTTTATTTAATTAAACAGTTCATATTCCTGTTATTAGCTGGTCCTCAGTCACCTGAATGTGCTGCCATCCATCATTGAGACTTCTGACAGACTTCAATGAGTTGTCAAGCTGTCATCCGTCTGCAGCTCAGTCGACGTGACAAATCTATGGCTGCACAAAGGATTGTGGGTCAGAACAGCCAGAAAAATCGTGTGGCTTGCAGACTGCAGAATTCAACCGGGTGTAGTGGAACATCCTGGTATTTTTGGCATACTGTGTTTGACAATACTACATACTTAATCTTTTTCTGGCGTACTGTATAGTTTTGTAGTATAGGTATTGGAGCGCACAGTGAATCCAAAATGACCTTCTCCCTCCCTTGTGTCCTCATCTCCTCTCCTTGCCATCTGTCCTAGATCCTCATTCCAGAGTGATCCTGAAGTCAAAGAGCTGCAACGACTTGCTGAGCTCCTACATCAACGCAAACTACATACGGGTGAGTCGTATCAGTCTGCACGATACAGACAACATTAGTTTTTAGTTTTCTGATGTTGCCACATTATTCCATCCACTGTTTCACACATGATGCAGCTTTTAAGCTCCAGTTCCTCGCCTTTTGTCCCTTTTGTTCTGGTTCAGTCCAACATGACATCATGTGTTCGTGGTGTGTGTGGAGGTTGTTGTTACACCATGTAGTCTGCCGCCATTTTGAGTGTAGTTCACTGTGTTTTCTCACTTGTTCAGGTTAAAAAAAAAATCAGTGCTTTTGTCTTCAGGTGACGGTCGTTTCTTCAGTTGTGTTGTTCATCGGGTTGATGACATTTGTTTGTTAGATCGTCTCTAAACCTGGAAACGATTGCAACACACTGACATTATCACATCATCTATCTGGAATGTCTCACACACACACACACACACACATGCAGTGAAAGTATACTCCTGCAGAAGTCTGTAATGTCGCTCTCAGACTCCCATACAATAGACTTTCTTCCTGGCAGGAAACTCCACTGAAACAATTTACACTGTCAGACCACATGAGAGAACAAATTCTTCATCGTACTGTGCACACTAACGCTGTGTATGATAAATATATGAAATATGAAGGGCACTGACAGCGCAGACCTCCACCGATGCACCAATGATTAATAATAAAATCATGATATATTTTAGCTCTACTGCTGTCAGAAAAAGTGACGTTATAAATAAATTCCTTACGTTATGAAGACTTCCAGCTTCATGTTCATTCATTCTTTAAACTGGCTCTTGTTCTAGGGTTACCTAGGCGAAGAGAAGGCGTTCATCGCCACCCAGGGTCCCATGGTGAACACGGTGAACGACTTCTGGCAGATGGCGTGGCAGGAGGAGGCGCCCGTCATCGTCATGATCACCAAACTGAAGGAGAAGAACGAGGTAATGTGACGGGTGTTTAAATAAAGTTTAATAACATTTAGAAAACAAAGCAGGAAAGGTGGATGATGATGATGATGATGAGGTTGAACTCCAGTTCTCCATCTGACAGGTTCTGTATTTATTTTTAGAAAGTGGAACCCAGAATAAGATCAAACAAACATGGAAAGTTAGAAACGAAATTGTGGGATGGGATAATGTACGATCCTTTGACGGTTGTCCCCCTGTCTCTGTCTCTGTCTCTGTCTGTGTAGAAGTGTGTCTTGTACTGGCCGGAGAAGAGGGGAATCTATGGGAAGGTGGAGGTGTTGGTGAACAGCATCAGAGAGTGTGAACACTACACCACTCGCAGCCTCACACTCAAGGTACACACACTTTATATTTCTGTTGTTTCTGTCTATGTTAATAGTTTGTGTTGGGGTTCAGATTTTATGTGTTGGTGTGTGCAGTGTGGGAATCAAACCCGCGTGCTGCAGCATTACTGGTACACATCATGGCCTGACCACAAAACTCCCGACTCCACGATGCCGCTGCTGCAGCTGATGACTGATGTTGAGACAGACAGACAGACAGCTGCCGTCATTGGACCGGTCATCGTCCACTGCAGGTAGAGACAGAGTGAACTGGGACACTTTTCTTCTGCTGCTGTTAAGGTTTGAAATAACTCCATTACCCATGCTCCTTTACTTGCAGCGCTGGGATTGGCAGAACAGGCTGCTTTATCGCCACGACGATAGGCTGTCGACAGCTGCAGCTGGAGGGAGTGGTGGATGTTCTGAGCATCACCTGCCGACTGCGAGCTGACAGGTGACACAGACATACAAACGTTTCATCTACTATAACTGCAAGGACACTTTATTGATTAAATGACTAAGGCCTTCACAAGTTTAAAAAACAAGTTGCTGACCTTGTTAGGAGCCTCTCGTCACCATGTCCCCATAATGTCAGTGTGTCCTCACAACGCTTGTACATTTTGTTTTATCTACAACCACAGTTTTCTGCATTTTACATATTTGGTTTATTATGTTTTGAAGTTGATGTTTGATTAAAGGGATAGTGCACCCAAAACTGAAAATCCAGCCATTATCTACTCACCCATATGCCGAGGGAGGCTCAGGTGAAGTTTTAGAGTCCTCACATCACTTGCAGAGATCCAAGGGAAGAGGAGGTAGCAACACAACTCCACCTAATGGAGGCTGACGGCGCCCCAGATTCAAACGTCCAAAAACACATCATTGAAACCACAAAATATCTCCATACTGCTCGTCCGCACGCACGTGAGCGCGGTGCCCAGAGAGGCAGTCAGAGCTACAGGCTACAATGAGGCTAAAAACAGAGTTCAAATGAGGTTTTTCCAAACAACTTTTTATGTCGGGGCTTCAGGACACTTGGATCACTACGGACGAGCAGTGTGGAGATATTATAACCCTAACCCAGCTGAGGAACAACTGTGACGGAGAGTAGCGTCACTTTCTACTGTCAAAAAATAGCCAATAAAAACTTTTAAAAGAGAAATATGATCAAACATTTGTGAGAAATTAAAATCAGCAACCTAGATTATATGCTTCCATGACGTTAGCATGTGGCTACATGTAGCAGTGTATGCAGCATAGAGACTTACAGTAGTGAACCAGGAGCAGATGACCATATAAAGAAATCTGTCACGAGTTGATGTCAGCTTGTCTGGTTTGAAACAGAGCCTGAGGTTTTTGCTCACATTGATTACTTTTACAAAAGTTTATGTCATTATTTAAAACTTTGGTCACGTTTAATACGAACATCTGACATTGTAACATTAAATATATGAAAGAATAAAGGGATGAATCATATTTCTTTTAACCTGAAACCTTGAAACAGGAGAGGAAAATGAAGTTTCTAGTGCTGCCTCTGAAAACCATAAAATAAATGCTCTCAAAACAAGTTGTTGAGGAGCCTTTCGTCACCATGTCCCCATAATGTCAGTGTGTCTTCACAACGCTTGTACATTCAGAGTTTTGTCTACTGCCACAGTTTTCTGCATTTTACATGTTTGGTTTATTATGTTATGAAGTTGATGTTCCAAGCAATGTGTGACGGAACCAGCTCTTTCTCTCCCAGTGTCGAAACATATTTTCAGTTTTTATTTTCTATTGCTTCAGTTTTCCTCTGCCATTACAGGTACGGCATATAATACTGTAATAATACATTTGATTTATAAAGCGCTTTACTGGATACTCATGGACACTTTACAAAGAACCACAGTAAAGCTTTGTGCCTCTATGTCCCCACAATGTCAGTGTGAAAACAGTCCCCATTGCCACTATTTTTCCGGCCTTCATGTGTTTTAATGCCTCCTCTCTGGGGACAGCCTCGACCTGAGGCATTATGTCTTTGGGTGGAGAACGACGAGAGGGAACTTCATAAACTTTGGCACACTCCACTTGGATTCAAGGATGAACTGATGAGAATTTGGTGGTGAGAAATGGTTAAAAAGTCATTTTCACAATGACTAAAAGTTTCTTTATCCATCTGCAGGGGAGGTATGATCCAGACAGGTGAGCAGTACGAGTTCGTCCATCACGCCTTGAGCCTGTACGAGGCCCGCCTCTCTGCAGAAACCGGCCAGTGAGCTCACACCACCACCACAGGAGGCATCGACTTAAACCTGGAAGTGCGCTAACATAGCGAAGTCCTTATAGCAGGTATGATCTCGGAGGTCTTTGAGTTTGATGGACAACCAATAAGGACTGTTGTGGGCGGGGCCTGCTGACGGAAAGAGGAAAGGTACATTTCAGAAAATGGAATATACCCCTTCTTCTTCTCTGCTGTTTCTTCTTCGTGTGTTGTTGGCGAGCGATTTTTCGGAGGAACTCGAAAGACTCACTTCACTTCTCTTAAACAACTGACTGTGGGATCGTGTCGTTTTTAACTAACCAGACTGTCCTGTTACCTCTTTTCTGTCATGGAGACGTAGAAATAGTTCGACTGGAATTGATCGACATTGTTCAATAACACTGTTGTGTTTCTGTGTCTTATAGGATTTAAAAATTATTTTGTAACGTGGTGTTCTTATGAGAAAGACTATTGGAAAATGACTGTTAGCTGGTTGCACCTTTGGTTAAGCTAATATACCACTGTTGAACCAACCCCTCCTGCCACACCGCCTTTGTGACTTCGGTCCTTCGTACGTTACCCTGTGATTCCCAACAAACACTTGATGTATCTTCAAAGGTATTTTCATGATCTCACAGATGTCTTAACCACTGAAACTTATTTTAAACTTCTCAGAAATACTAAGTGTGTCAGCCCAAGTCACCTGACACTTGATAACTACATTTTTTTCATATTTATATGCTAACAATACTTTATGATATGTTTCAAAGTGTGCTATTGTGTTTAACCAGACAGCGTTGAGTACGCAAGCTTTATTTTGTTGTATACAATGCTACTTAATGTGTAATCAAGTAATTTTTCATCAAAAACCAACTATGTAATCTTTATTTCTAGTAACTGCGTCTGTCTTTGGGTCGGTAACTTATGGAGTGCCGAAGTCACAAATGGCGCTAACCTTCAGCCATAGCTCAAATGCTAAAGCTAACAAACCAATGTAACCAATAAGCTCCTGCTAAGCTAGCTCTCGTAGTACAGCAATCTTCCATAGAGGCTAATTCTAGCTTTGGTGGCTCAGTGTTAATTCTTGTGCTTTAATGTCAATAGATAGATGCTAACCTATAAGCTCATGCTAATATTAGCCTGCTATGCTAATGCAATATTGTTAAAACCAATTAAATCCAGTATTCCACTGCTAAACCATGCATTTAAAGTAATAGTTAGTTTGCTACAACAATTATTCTTTATACTGTCCAACAACTACAGCTCCCATGAGCCTTTGAAAGCAGTACTGAGTCTAAGAATTATGGGAGCTGTACTTTTTAAATGCTAACAAAATAATTGTTTTATCTTTTATTTTAAATTAACAACACCCAAAAACACATAAAGAAATGGAGGCTAGTGGAAAAACAAGCTAGCTTAAAAAGTAGCCGCTCGCTTCCAGTCACAATATATTTGATTAATTGAGCCCAGTGCTGTTAAAATATTTTGACATTTACGTCAAAGTTTAGTTTTCAGCTCTCGGCCAAATTAAAAAAGCATAGTTTTCTGAGAAATGTTGTGCTGCTTGATCTCAGAGTTTACACTCTGCACAGTGGTTAACCTTGTTTCTTGCATCGACAATTCCCCTGTTGTGTGACAAGTTGCTTTATACCAAAAATGTGAACGAATTTACGTCACAACGGTGCAGTCATCTCATCGATGTGCTGTTGTAAATTGTTATCGAGTGAGTACGTTATTTTTGATGCATCAAAGTAATAATAACTTTATTTTTATACTGTTTTTACATGTTTTCGATGTGTTTTAGCAGCTGTCAGCCATCTCTCGACTCGCATGTAAGCTCGCTATTTAGGATTCAAACCTCATCATCTCTGAATCATCAACTTAACAAGCTGAGTGGAATTAATTATTGACTCTTTGTTTTTCATCTGAGCCAGAAAAGTGATGTTTGAATAAGCACCCCTGTGTAAGGCTCCCTGTGTTTATGATAGAGCAGTAATTTTTAATTTTTCACATGTCCAACATAAGAACAGATCGCAAAACAAAAATCCGATGTTTTGTCACTTCCTGGTTTGTTGATATGTTTTAGAGATGTGAGGTTTCTGCAGTAATGCCAGTAACGAAGAACATTAACATTATACATCTAACCTGCTCTGTGTGTGTGTGAACGGGACAACTTCTACAGTACGTGTTAAAGTGCTATTAAACCTAATGTGGGCAGTTACATTTCCAATCCACAGACCACAAACAAACGCGGAGATCTTGCTGCTAAAACTGGAGCGTCGGGACCGCTGGGACCGTTGACGGACAATAAATGAGAGAAACTTTGAAAACTCCTCTTTTTCTATGTATTTTTTATTTATTTATTTTCTTGTGATACAATCAAGGGACTTTGGACCAGTGTCTCTTTGTCTACATGTCCAACATGCCTCCATGGGACCATCATCAACCCAGTTTTCACTTCAGTCAGTTCAGGGTCGATCTCAGACTCAAAGTGATTAAAAATCTGGTGCACTGAAGTGTGATAGTGACGTAAGATCCTGTTTGAACTGACTGAAGTGAGAGTGAGTTGAGCCCAGCCTCCATACCCACTGCAGAAGCGGGTACAACAACACACACTGCCTCTGACGTAGTATTGTGTATGTACAGTAGGTGGTGGTTCATGTCCTGTACTTTATTGTTGTTGACTGTTCGATTGCTCTTAAAGGGACATTTGATATTTTTTAGACAGAACAAATATCTTGTATTCACTTTAATTTAATTGTATAGCATTTTATTTTACTGGTTCATAATGTTAGGATTACACTTTGTGGGTGAGGTTTTATTTTACAGGTCACATAGTATCCACTAGTTTTCTAGTGAGAAATTATTTGTAACTGCGTATTTATTGGAAGTTTCCCGTAAAGGACTCTGCAGCGTGAAACTGAAAATAACTAGTGTTTGATTGGTACTCTTGTAATTACAAAATTCCAGTTAATTGCTGTTGATTCTTGTAGACAGTGCAGGTCAGCTGAATATGCAAAAATGTGGCAACAGGCAAACACACAATTCAACATATATGGACAAAGAAAGTTTCCAAAGTCCTCTGAACATCAACAAATGTTTATAAACTCAACACAACTAAAGTTTTTGTCTATTTTCTGTGAGCAGTACCAAATTATATAGCTGAGTTCTTTCCAGGAAACTTGCTACAAAAATATTGGGAACTTACTGACCCCAAAAATAAAACCTTAACTTTTAGTGTGCACCCAGGCACTAATTAAGTTCCTGTGAGTTTTCCTCAGAATAATCTGTTTAGCCCCATCACTTAATCGTTGCCACCTGGATCAGAACTTCCTGTCGCAGTTTACGATGCTACTGCACTTTACTCCATGGTAACATTTAGTCTAAACCAAAGAAACTGAAGCCTGATTAAAGATGTAAAATTGCATGTTAAATGTGAGGATTTTTTTTTGGCAACACTGGTTAGTGAGACAGAAAAAAGTTATGAACACATTTGTTGTTTTGCTAACTTTAATCATAACAAGAAAAAGGGTTAGCTTACATATGTTATTTTGCTAACATAAGTTTAATAAAATGGTAATTTTTTTAGCTAAAGTACAGATTATTTTGCTAGCTTTAGTTAATTTTAGGTAAAGTAAAATTTGTGTTTCTTTTCTGCTAGTATTAGCTAATGAAAAGACCAATTTTAGCTAAAGTAAAGGCTGTTTTGCTAACATTAGCTAATGGAATGACCAATTTTAGCTTATAGAAAGGTTGTGTTGCTAACTTAAGCAAATTTTAGCTGTAGTAAAAATTTGTTTTGCTAGTATTTGCTAATGGAATAACCAACTTTAGCTAAAGTAAAGGCTGTTTTGCTAACATTAGCTAATGAACTGACCAATTTTAGCTAAAGTAAAGGCTGCTTTGCTAATATTACCTAATGGAATGACCAATTTTAGCTAAAGTAAAGGCTGTTTTGCTAACATTAGCTAATGAACTGACCAATTTTAGCTAAAGTAAAGGCTGTTTTGCTAACAATAGCCATCGGAATGACCAATTTTAGCTTGTAGAAAAGTTGTGTTGCTAACTTCAGCAAATTTTAACTGCAGTAAAAATTTGTTTTGCTAGTATTAGCAAATGGAATGACCAACTTTAGCTAAAGCAAAGGCTGTTTTGCTAACATTAGCCAATGGAATGACCAATTTTAGCTTGTAGAAAAGTTGTGTTGCTAACTTCAGCAATTTTTAGCTGAGGTAAAACTTGTTTTGCTAGTATTAGCTAATGGAATGACCAATTTTGGCTGAAGTACATGCTGTTTTGCTATCATAGCTCATCATATGACCGAGTTTTGCTAATGTCAAAGATACTTCTTTTGGTCATGTTTGTTATTAAAGAAACAATGTCAGCTCATCTTAAAGTTCTTTTGCTAACATTAGCCAATGACATTGCCAGTTTTAGCTAATGTAAATTTTTGTTCTTTTGCTACCTTAGCTAGTGAAGAAACAAATCTCAGCTCATGTAGATATTTAGTTTTTTGTTAATTTTACAGAGTGTAAGCACCAGTTTTAGATCATGTAAAGTTGTTGTGCAGTCAGAAGTTCAAAGCTTTTTTGAATTAATTAATTAATTAGCTTGCATTTAAGAACAGATGGCAGCAAATTAATTAATTAAAACTATTTCCTGCACATTAATGAATAAACACTGATTTGTCATTTGCACTGTGCCGTAGAGGTAATGCCTCAGTAAATGTGACAGAAGGTCCTGATCTGCTGGAGTGCAAAATTACTTGGATAAGTTACAGGTGGAAACATTCAAACTGCTTTTACATTATTTAAAGCTTTTCAAAGACACCAAATCTGCCAGTAAACTTTTAACTCAAGGAGAATAACGATTAGCTCATCAACTAGCCAGCAGATTCATTTGGCAAGGACATTCATGCTAATGCTAACATGCTAACAGTAGTTTCTGATACATTAGTGTGCTGTCAAACAACCAGACAGTGTTGGAAACGATATGAACCAGATACTTTTAGGACCAGTTTATTTTGTGCAAATTTTAAAGTGAAACTACCACATTAAAATAAAAAATGTCAGTGTCCCTTTAAACTTCTGCTGTGTGGGCGTTACAGCTCAGTCAGAGTACACCTGATGCTAAATAGTGTACGTACGGTACGTGGTTTTTTAACTGTATTACTAATCAACTTGAATGTTGTAATAGTCTGGAACATTAGCCACTGAGTAGTGCTGTAACCTCTTTATCTACTCTATCTACATATATATTGTTACCTGTAATCTGTACATAAACACTGGACATAAAAACAATGGCGCTCTGACTCATGTTGTCTTGGACTCTGACTGACTGATGTATGACCAGATAATTGTACAAAGGCTACAGAATCATTATATTTAAGGGTTAGTTTTATGGATATGTATGAAACCACATGTTCGTGTACACACAGTACTGTGAGTAATCTTGACTTTGTTAAAATAACGAAGCTTTCAAGCTGCTGTAGTGGAGCTTGGGAACACTCTTCATTTCTATAGACAGATAAAAGAAATGCTGAATGAGAGATTGTGTTGAAGTGATGTCATGACTTTCTCTTATGCAGGCTGCAGGACACACCATGCATCCTAGCGTGTTACACATATCGTGTTTTTGTGCCATAAACCAAACTGAACTTTAGGCTAACTATACAAACCAAGCAATTTGACACTTAAACTGTATCAAAAATAAAATACAGTCACAACAAACACGAGATCAGATACATTTTATTGAAGCAGGTTAATGTGAAGTGTCACAGCAGCAAAACAAAGTACAACAACATTAGCACTGTGTGGATAATTTACCGTTAAACACTAGAAAACTATATATACCAGTGGTTCCCAACTTGCGTTTGGCCATGTCGTCGAGCTAGTTTTCTGTCTCTGTCAGGTAGCTGTCTGTTAATCACTCACTCTACAGCAGGAAACAGCACTTACAAATGAAAGCTCTGGGCAGGAAATTCACTGCACTGTTTTTTACAAACTTGACACGTTTGCGAGTCACTTACAGTCCGTTCAGATTGGACCCAGGACCCTCTTTTGGACCGTAACCCACCAGTTGGGGACCACTGATATATATATTTTAAGCATCTGTTTGCAACATGAAGCATGAAAAAACAAAAACAGGTTGTGAGTGTCTTTGAGTCTCCATTTAGATGTTACTGGGTCATTTGTGGCAGATCAGGGTCAGTTTTCTATAATATATTATAAGATGAATAATCAGGCTGATTCTAAGTCAGCTCAAGATCATTTTAGTCTTTTGCTGTAAGTAAATAAATAAGTAAAAAAAACTATGACATTTTGAAAGTATTGTACATTTAGATTTTTGAAAATGATTATACTGTACACTGGTGCACTTAAATGTTGCAGCTGGTAAAAATGGAGCTCATTTTAATGACTTTATATCCTCCTGAGACCTGAACTTTTGATGGTTTGCATTTTTAATTTCTCCGAGCTATTTGGCATCAGTAGGACCTGATAAGTATAAAAAACTCAATCAGTGATAATTAGAACTGATTTATTTTAACAGTGTCTTGTTACTGTTGCTAAAATTAGTCACATTTGTATTCCTTATCAAACTACGAACATTATTAATCATAGATAAACACATTTCAACCATTAAATGTGATCAGGTTTTGGACCTTGTCCACTTTTGTGTTGGGATCGGCTGCAGACCAACTTGGCAGAGATGGTTGGTCAACACAAGTCTTCTGACCTACATGTCTGAGGATTGGTTCAGAGTAACTCCAGTGAGTCATGATGGCGAAATTACTTCATGTTTGGAGATTAAGCTGTCGTTCCTAGAAACTTTCTGTCATAATAGAGGAGAGAGTGAGACAAAGGGAGTGCGGAGGGGAGCAGGAAGGAAGGAAAGAGGTGTGGATGACTAAAAGTAGCTCCAACCCACTGAAACAAAAGCGGTTTAGCTTTTAACTCGTAACGCTGCAGACAGAAGAGTTAACTTTATACAGGAGAAATGTAACCTCACTGTTAATGGTGTTTTAGCTTTTGAGCTGCAGGTAGTGAACGTTCTGACTCATGTGAAGCATTTTGCCTGAGAATGTAAATTGAATGCTTCAAGGTAATCTATTAAAACAGACATGTCAACGTGTACACAACAGAAACCGAAGACAGAAAGTAAAGTCCCTCCACCTCCCCACATAGACACTAAGAGGCTGCTGCTGCGTGTGTGTGTGTGTGTGTGTGTGCAAATTAAGACTTTCTTCTTTTCTCTCTTTTCTTTTCGAAGCCTCTGTGACATTTGAACATGTCCTCCAATAATATGACATCATCAGTCTCTTCCTCTCTCCTCTTTCTACTTAGCGCATGTCTCCGTCTCGGCCTCTTTCAGTCGGCTCTCTGGCTCTGTCACTAATTCAAAAACAGAATTCAAGATGTATTTTTCAGTCAATAAAACTGTAATAAATCCAATAATATAAAGAACACACACACACACACACACACACACACACACACACACACACACACAGAGTTTTCATCATTATATAGTAAGATTATTCCAACAATAAAATTGTAGTTGATAAATAGGGTCAAGACTACAAAGCCAGAACAGGGTTGGAAATTAACTTTTTTGCCCACCTGCCACTCAACTGACCTTTCCCTAAGCCCCGCCCCTTTGTGATGGTCCAACAAGTTGTCGGAGTAATGGTGCGTTCGTTTTGTACTCGGAGGTCAGAAATTTCCAGTTCCCAGTCGGAAGTTTAAACTCCAATGCACCCTGAGATCGGATTTCCAACTCGGAAACTCGGAGCAACCGCATCAGTCCCGACTTACGAATTCAAGATGGCTACCGGTCACATACATAGTGAGTAAACACTCTGCTAAAGTACTGTTTATAGCAATTCTATCTTATTTGTTTTACATTAGGTCAGCCTCATCTGCAGCGTTCATCAGTTGGAGTGCATGATGGTTTTGAAGCTGTCTATACTCCGAAAGTGCAAGGGCAACAAAGGCTTTCTTGCAGGCGTCCATGTTTTTTTCCAACTTGTCCACCATCGTCAACTAGAACGCAAAAACTGTTGTCAACTCAGAGGTGATGTCATTCCCACTTCCGACCTCCGAGTACAAAACGAACGCAGCATAAGCATGGAGCCCACACTGTAACTAACTGCACTCCCTGAAGAAAGACAGAGAGGAAGAACAACCACAGCACACTGACGAGAGAGACAAACATGTCGTCACTGGTGTGGACGTCTTCTACAGTTTCAGAGGAAGACAACTGGTCTGATCCCCGACCACCTGACTCCCCACCAGATCAGCAAACATCTTTCTGCTGTTAAACAGGTTAGACGCAGTGCTGAAGGACCGTCTGTGGAGCGGATTCTCTCACTGCAGTGGTCGGTGTCTGCCCTGTTAGCACAAGCTAACACAGCAGCAGTGGCTCACATCCATCACCAAGCCTTTAAACAGTCCCAGCATACACACACCAGCCTGTGTGTGTGTGTGTGTGTGTGTGTGTGTGTGTGTGTGTGTGTGTGTGTGTGTGTTCCCCGTTTTTCTCCTCACTGACTTGGTCAATCCATGTGAAATTTGGCACAGTGGTAGAGGGTCATGGGAGGATGCCAATGAAGCAATATTACATCAATTTGCCAAAGGGGGGCGCTATAGCAACCCATTGAAATGTCAAACTTTGAATGGGCATATCTCATGCCCCGTATGTCGTAGAGACATGAAACTTTGCACAGAGATGCCTCTCCTCATGAGGAACACATTTGCCTCAAGAACCCATAACTTCCGCTTATATAGATTTTCCGCCATTTTGAATTTTTTGAAAAACACTTCAAATGGATCTCTTCCTAGGAAGTTTGAGCGATCTGCATGAAACTGGGTGAACATAATCTAGGGACCAATATCTAAAGTTCCCTCTTGGCAAAAGTTGGAAAACTTACTAAAACTGAGCTTCTATAAGGCAATGAATATTGCGGAGGGCGTGGCTCATCACATAAAGGTGTATAACATCTCAAGGGTTTCACCCATCACCACGCAACTTTGTAGGCATATGACCACACATAATCTGAGGGGACCCCTCCATTATTGACCCCATCAAACAAAATGGGGGCGCTAGAGAGCTCATTTCTTATCTAGGCCTAACCGCCATATGGATTTTTACTAAACTTGGTAGATATGTAGAACAGGACGCCTCAAGGTGACTGGAGAAATTTAACTCTAATTGGCAACTGGGTGGCGCTATAACAACAGAAAAATGCTTCAAAATGGCTAAAATGCGACCGATCGCTGTGGCTCCCCCTGTGGACCAATGTTGGTGTTTTTTCTAATGTTTGGTATGACTAAGTCATGGTATGGTATGCTGTACATAATCACGGAAACTGTCAGTGTGTCATTCTGTCAGTCAGTCATTCTGTCTGTCCCACGTTTTTCTACTCACTGACGTGGTCAATCTATGTGAAACTGCACATAGGCATTGAGGACTGGCATAGGTAGAAGGTGACAAAGCTACCAATGGCTATGGACTAGTACACATTAATGCATATTTCCCATTATTGGCGGATAATTTATCGGCCCGATATATATCTTGTATTCTTAGTTCAAAGTGAGTAAAAGAGCTGCAGTGTGGTGTTGATTCTCAGTTGGATTGGCACCACTATCACCCAGTTATTTGGTTCAATGATAATAAAATATATATACTTTTTAATGTGTCTTCAGAACCATAAATCAGAAACCAAAGACGATGTTAATGTGGAGCCCAAACTAAATTTACACCTGAGAAACAGATGGAGCCGCATCAAAAGACGACGCTGTCATGAAAAGAAAGAGAGCAAACGTTAAACTCCAGGACGATCTCGTCTCAGTGGGAATTAATCAAACACTCGTCTCTATTTTTAACATCTACCTCTGCTGCTGGTGCGGCTAGGTGTGCTGCCATTGTAGTTACAGGCCTATTTATAGCCTCCATCCAGGCAGAGTTGGTGTTGTTGTGCCTTTGCAGTGACTCACAGAGCTGTTGGCTTGATTGAGGAAGTCCGTTAGTGACTCCCAAGCTCGACACTATAGAGTCTGACCGACACACAGACAGACAGACAGGAAGAGAGACAGACAGCTGAGGGTGAGACAGGCAGGGAGTCCAGAGAAAAGAGAGGAAAGACTGAGTTTGAAGTCTGAGTTGAGGATGGACATGAGACTGAGAAGAGACGACGAACAAATCAGATGAAATATCTGGAGAAAAATCAAAATCGTCTGACAGGGATCTACTCTGTCTTTCTAAGATACATTTAAACTTCCAGCTGCTTCGTTTCCACTGACTTTAATTTTC